GCACAAGCATGCTAAAGAGCCATAAAGGAAATGACAATGAGAGGCTCAGCTAGTTAAATGTTCAACTTCAATTCAGGTCATGATCTCACGGCTCATGAATTCGAGCCCTGCGTCGGGCTCTGTGCTAATAGCTCAGAGCATGGAGCCTGCTTCGGATTCTGTGTCTCCCTCTCTCTCTGCCCGTCCTCTGCTTGTTTTCTGTCTCTCAAAAATAAATAAACATTCAAAAAAAAGAAAAAGAAAAAAAGGAAAGCCCCAAACTAGAGTCTCTGTGTCCCAAAACCTATAAAATCTACTGGCACCATTCACTGACCATATTGATTTTTGGGAAAGTGAAGGTCTCAGTTAAACTCCCAGCCTTTCTGGATTTTAGCAGGAAACTACTTTTTGTGGAGAAGCTGGACATCAGCTTCCACTGCAGCATGGAGAAAGTGATCTAGTAACACACCCAACCTGCCTGACAGGTACTGCCTCTACCTGCGTGGCTTATTCATGAGTCAGAAAACACCTTTGCAGCCAGCCTGGCATTTTATTTCATTCTCAAACTTGTCAGACTTGGGATGCCAAACACATTTTAAAATTCAGAAATATGAAACATTGTAAAAACCAGTCACTCACTACTCAGCTCTCCAAACTAGCAGATGCCTTTATGCGTAAACTCATATTTGCAGACATGTTAATGTAGGCAGGAAAGAACTCTATAGTAATACCAAGGACACCACTCAAGCTGGGTCTACAGAACCACGGGAAAGTCAGACATCGAAGCCGTTGTGATGGTTTCAGAGGATCGTTGGCCCTTTCAAAGAAAGTTCCCAGTTGTGAAGCACTCGTTCATGAGAGACCTTTAGACCCAGCCTTAGTCAGTCTGTCAGAGAGATCACAAAGACTTGATGTCCCTTAAGTTTGTCATTGTTACATCTTGCTGAAAGTAAGTTGTTTGACTTGCGTATTTCTTTATGCTCTACGTGGAACCAAGACCACAATAACTAATCACTTCATGTCATATCGTGTAGAACGTTTATTCAAAATATGGTCCAGGGCTAATAACATACATTAAGGTAATATATATGACTATGGTGGCATAAAGGAGGTGGAAAAGAACAAAACTATATTACAGGGAGGAGATTATATCACATGGTAACTTGAATCTACAGGAACAAATGTAGAGAGTAAGAAATGAAACAAAAAGATTGTTACGACAAAGCCTTTAGATATATAGTCTCTCACTTTTCTGATCTTAGCTTCCTTAAAATAGGTAAAATTATGTAAAGTAATAATTACAGCAATTTATTGTTGGGTTTATGACATAGAAATAATGTGTATAACAATAGTATTTCAAAAAAGGGAAGAAGAGGGTGGAGCTTTGTAAGAAAAGTTACTATATCTCACTGGTATGAAGTTAGCATGTCTAAAGTGATTTCGAGAAGTTATGGCATATACCATAAACCCTAGAAAATAACTTACTCTAAGCCACTAAGAAAATAACTCCAAAATATAGTCAAAAAGTCACTGGAGGAAGTTAAAATATTATACTAAGAATATGCATTTAATGCAAAGGAAAGTAGTAAAGAGGAACAGAGGAACAAAATGTGACATGAGATATGTAGAAAGCAAAAAGTCAAATGGAAGCTACAAATCCAACCATACCAATAACAATATTAAATGTGAAAGGATTAAACGGTCTAATCAAAGGCAGAAATTGTTAGATTGGATAAGAAAACATGATTCAACTTTGTGCTGTCCACAGGATATAAACTTTAGATTCAATGACACAAATAGGTTGATGGGTGGATGGGTGGCTCGGTCAGTTAAGCCTCTGACTCTTGATTTCAGCTCAGGTCATGTCCTCACGGTGGTGAGATCAAGCCCCCTGCCAGGCTCTGCCGTGGGTGTGAAGCCAGCTTAAGATTCTCCCTATCCCTCTGCTACTCCCCAGCTCATGCATGTGCATGCACTCATGCTTTCTCTCTCTCTCAAAAATAAATAAACTTTATATATATATATATATTTCTAGGAGAGAGAGAGACAGTGTGAGCAGGGGAGGGTCACAGAGAGAGGGAGACACAGACTCTGAAACAGGCTCCAGGCTCTGAGCTGGCAGTCAGCACAGAGCCCGACGCGGGGCTCGAACCCACAAACCGCGAGATCATGACCTAAGCGAAAGTCGGACACTTAACTGACTAAGCAACCCAGGCGCCCCAAAATTAAATAAACTTTAAAAAGAAAATCTCAGCTAGCTGTTTTTCAGAAATTGTCAATTTATATGAAAATCCAAAGGATACCGAATAGCTAAAACAAGCTTGAAAAAGAATTAAAGTCGAGAAGCTCACGCTTCAAAACTTATTACCAAACTACAATAAATGAGAGAGTGTAGAACAGCCATAAGGACAGACAGATCAATAAAATAGAACTGAGGCCCCAAATAACTCTATCATTTGTGATCAATTAATTTCAACAAGGGCGCCAAGACAATACAATGGGGAGCAAAGTCTTTTCAAAGAGTGAGGCCAGCACAACTGGAGGTCCACTGTGGAAGAATGAAGTTGGATGCCTTCATTACATTATACAAAAAATTAACTCAAAATAGACTATAGAGCTAAATGTAGGAGCCAAAATTATACAGTTCCTGAAAGGAGACATGAAAGTAAACCTTTGTGACCTAAGGTTAGGCAAAGCCATGAATATGACTTAAAAAACACAAGTAACCAAAGACAAAAAAAATAGATAAATTGGAACTTAATCAAAATTGAAAACTTTTTAAAATGTTTATTTATTTATTTTGGAGAGAGACAGAGAGAGACAGAGCATGAGCAGGGGAGGGGCAGAGAGAGAGGGAGACACAGAATCCAAAGCAGGCTCCAGGCTCTGAGCTGTCAGCACAGCTGACGGGGCTTGAACCCACAGACCGTGAGATCATGACCTGAGCTGAAGTTGCATGCTCAACGGACTGAGCCACTCAGGCGCCCCTAAAATTGAAAACTTTTAAGTTGTAAATTACACTGCCAACAAAGTGAAAAGACAACCCACACAATGGGAGGAAATGGGGGCAACGGGCACATTGAAAAGATGCTTGCAGTGTCCTTAGTCATTGGGGAAATGCAAATCAAAGCCACAATAAGAGGCCACTTGGCACCCAGTACAATAATTATAATGCAAAAAACATGGAATGTGGAGACATTGGAACCTCCTACATTACTGTGAGTGGTCCAAAGTGGTTGCACTAGTTTGGAAAACAGCTTGGCTGTTCCTCCAAGCGGGAAACATGGAGTTACAAGATCGAGTAATTCTACTCCTGGGTAAGTACCCAAGAGAAATGAAAACATACATTCCCAGGAAAACTTGCACATGAATGTTCAAGCAACGCTAGTCAAAATAGCTGAATGCCATCCACTGAGGAGTGCACAAGAAGATCAAGTTTATTTATACACCACATCATTCATCGATAAAAAGAGATGAAGTATGGATACATGCTACAACATGTATGAACCTTGATGACATGGTGCGAAGTAAAAGAAACCAAGCACAGAAGGTCACCTCTTGTATAATTCCACTGACATGAAAAAATGCACAGAAGGCCAATCTATACAGATAGCAAGCATAGCTGTGGCTGTCAAGGCTGGGTGTGGGAGACGCTGGGGGTGTGATGACTAATGTGGATTAAAATGTAACTTCTGAGGGGTGAGGAAAGTGTAAACTTGATGGTGGTGATTGCAGAAGCCCAAACAAACTAGCAGTCATTGAAATACACTTTCCAAACAGGTGCATTTTTTTGGTATGTGAATTATATATCAATAAAGGGGCTAAAAAATCGAATCCCTATATATCAGTCATGTAGTCTTGAGTTTTGGTTTCCTTGGAAAAATCATTTATTATAGTAGCATTTTTCAGTGTTTCCACTAGTGATATTTTGGGCTGAATTATTATTTGCTGTTGGGCAGTGTCCCGTTGTCCTGTGCATTCGAGGATGCTTAACAATGCCCTTGGCCTCTTCGGACTAGAAGATGGCAGTGTCCCTTCCTCCAGTTATGACAACTGGAACTATCTCCGGGGATTGACCAATGTCCCTTGGGGGTGCAAAATAGCCCCCGGTTGAGAACCACTGTATACAGTGCTTCACAGCGGTAATTGCACAAAATCAACGCTTCATTTTTTATTAACCTGTTAGGCTGATAGAAGCTTAAACACTTGCCGCTTGTTTCTCACAATAAAACTGAAGAATAGATTGTTTTTGCTACTTTCAACTTTTGTCCTGGAGCTCAAGAGACATCCAGTTAGGAAAATGGTCAAGGTGCAAAATTACAACACAGATTAGCGCCAGCTCTGAGCCTCTATTTAACTAGCATACTCGGTATCGTAATTTAGCAGTGTCTAATGAAGTATTGGATTTGCTTGCCACATGTTTAATGGACAGTCTTCTTAAATAAGAAAACATTTAGAGAAGTAAAAATGTATTTGTTTTTTATTCTATTATTGGTAATAGAATAAATACCATTAATATCTATGCAGAGTAAGAAAAAACGAGCAGGACTCTGGAGATTTAAATAAAAATGTTTCTCTTGAATTATTGTTTTTGATAACTTAGTCAAGCGAACTTCTCAATCTGCACTCAAGGAGTGTCACAAAAAGCCCGGTGATTGGAAAACACGAAAGTTGATTTCCAGGGACTGCAAGACGGCATGTGATTGGCTCTCCCACTGCCTAACAATAAGCTAAAAAGGAACGAATGAGAAAAAGAATTATCCTGAAACCCCAGGAGAGGCCAGAATCAGAACTGTGAGTCCTGGAGGAAAAAAAATGAGAAAAATGTGATGAATGTGATCAAAAGGTGTTGAATCAGTCGCCAAGAAAAGGGAGCGTGTCGCTTTCTCACAGAGCTGTAGCAACAGAAGCAAGCAAGGAGAACCACGAGCCAATGCCATGGGACATCTCGGTTTTATGTACACCTCCTCCCAAACACATTACTCACCACTGACCAGCAATGCCCATTGCCATGTACTCACTTCATGCTATGAAAATCGGATGCCCCACATTGGCTGACTATCCCTCCACAGCAAAATCATGCAGTCTTTCCATAACTGAGCCTCTGTGGTAATGAAAGACCCCACCGTGTCCTCAGGAACATCTACAAGGAACGTTAAGATGGGAGTGGGGGGGTGGTCTGAGGATTACATCCTGCCTTTCCACATCGCCCCAGAGCAGCCGGGAGCACAGCCAGCGTTTCCCAGCCCGTTTGTGTGTCATAGCGATCTCTTGCTGTACTTCCCCTGTGCTTATTTCTTTTTCCAACCTATCCGATTCAAAGAAACGGACACCGGCAAAGTCAAGCTCCTGTCCTTCCCTTGACACTCGCGCCCTGATCTGAATATTTGGCATCGCCTTTTATTCTCTTCTTATGACGAAATCCTGCCCCGGACTTTTTCACCTTCAAGTTCTGCCAGGTCTCTTACGCTGGGAGCCTCCAGTTCCAAAAACCCAGATGATCCTGGCCACGTGGTAGGAGAACGGGAGGCATCCAGCCACCGAGCCATCTGTGGTGAGAAAGCCACTCTGCACCCCTCTTGGCCGGGACACTTACCACTCTGACTGGTCCTGTTCTGCTCCTCTGGGAAATCCGGGACTCCAGCGCCGAGGGAAGGAGAAGATGAGGAAGCCTTCCACGAAGAGGGGGTGTGCACGCTGGGTGTGTGTGCTTTCACCTGGGTGTGTGTGTCTCTGTCACTGCGTGTGGTGGGTGACGTAGAAGGAGAACTTAGATTCATCTACGTTGAGGCACCAGGGTCCCGGGTTTTAAACATCTCCGCAGGCTCCCTTGTCTCTCATGAAATTTCCTCCACATCCTTGGAGTTGACAGGAACTGGCCAAGTCTTGGTCTTACCACAACCCAGCCCGTTGGGCAATCCAAGGGCGGGACTCTCTCTCCCTCATCGTTGGGTTGCCAGTTCAGTAGGGCCCGAAGTTCCTTTTCTGAAAAGGAAAGTCCATGCTGTGGGAAAACGCACTGATCATGGTTTTTTGTTTCCCATGTTTTGTATTTTCGGAGGGGTGGGGGGGAGGTCACGTTTAACCAACCCAAGTTAGCAAAGAGAAAAATAGGGTTTGACCACCAAAGAAGAAGCATCTGGTGCAAAGGTCCTATAAAATGCAGACTTTGCCAGGCGCCTGAGCGGCTTAGTCCGTTAAACATCCAACTTCGGCTCAGGTCATGATCTCACAGCTCGTGAGTTCGAGCCCCGTGTCGGGCTCTGTGCTGACATCTCGGAGCCTGGAGCTGCTTCCGACTCTGTTTCTCCCTCTCTCTCTGCCCCTCCCCCACTCTCCTTCAAAGGTAAATAAACATTAAAAAAAAATTTTAATGCAGGCTTTGCCCCACTTTGGATGTTTTCCCGTCTTTGTCCTCTTTCTCTGTTGTTCGCCCAATCACTTTTCTTTTTTTTTTTTTTCTTTTGAGAAAGTTGAACAAAATTTAAAGAGAGATGGTTTGGCAGAAGGTATTTTCCGGTGTCGTTTGAGACAGATTAAGGTCCATCAGCTTCTCTGACTGTCTCAAACTTATTACAGCTCCGGCCCTCCATTAAAACTCCCCTTTAAGCGTCCGACTTTCGCTTAGGTCATGATCTCGCGGTTCGTGGGTTCGAGCCCCGCGTCGGGCTCTGTGCTGACTGCCAGCTCAGAGCCTGGAGCCTGTTTCAGTCTGTGACTCCCTCTCTCTCTGACCCTCCCCTGCTCGCGCTGTCTCTCTCTCTCTCTCCTGGAAATAAATAAAATATTAAAAAAAAAAAACTCCCCTTTTAAATATAAATGGTTCTGGTCTTCTGTCTGATTCTGTGCCACGCTCAGACCCCTGGAACCTGGTTATAGTTACGCCATCTACTGGGTGTTGGTGGAACTGCATTTGCTGGACACAGTATCGTGCTGTCCCCAACAGCTTCCAAGAAAATACAGGGCTCAGCAATGCTGAACGATTTATGAGACCCATAATTCATCATTTGACGCCTGAGATGTTGTTTCTTAGTTTATTTATTATGAGAGAGACAGAGACAGTGGGAGTGGGGGAGGGGCAGAGAGCGAGGGGGCGAGAGAGAATCCAAAGCAACTTCCTTGCTGTCGGCACAGAGCCTGATGCAGGGCTCCAACTCATGAAGCTGAGATCATGACCTGATCCGGAACCAGGAGTCCGATGCTTAACCCACTGAGCCACCTGGGCGCCCCAAAATGTTCATTTTATTTCTAGAAGTATTTTTTCAGGAGAGGATACGTTCCCCATTTTAACTCTCTAGTTCTTCTTAGTGTTGAATCTAAGGAAACGTCCCTGAGAGGAGCTTGGATAATAATGTAGGTCAGATTGTAAACACTGGTCTTAAAATATCTGGGTATGTGGTCAAGGTTGTGACAGTCTGGATAACCTGAAAGGCCTTGTGCTACAAATATTTAAAAATGCTGCATAGCATTAAAAAAAAAAAAAAAAGCAAGTAGGGGTACAAGAAACATGTGACCTGGTACTAAAGCAGTTGGGAGTAGAGTAGATTTTGGTTCTGGAAAATAGGTGGCTAAATCTTCCGAACTCGTACGGGGACAGATGTTGAGGTGTTAGAGCCAGACAAAGCATGAATGGGAACTGGGAATACCTACCCCATTAGGGCTGGATCATGAAAGCTGCACCAGAAGCTTACCTACCCATTAGTACAGGGTGACAGCAAGGAAGACCATCTCCTCCTGTCCAGATTTGGGTGCAAATCTGGGGCGCCTGGGTGGCTCAGTCTAAGCCTCCGGCTTCCGCTTAGGTCAGGATCTCGCGGTTCCTGAGTTTGAGCCCCACGTCAGAGTCTGTGCTGACAGCTCAGAGCCTGGAGCCTGCTTCGGATCTGTGTTCCCCCCCCCTCTCTCTACCTGCCCCTCCCCACTTGTGCTCTATCTCTCTCTCAAGAATAAATAGACATTAAAAACAAAAAAAGGTAGAAATACCCTTAAGAATCCAGTAGCATAGCCCTTTCCTCTCACAAAGTTAGAGTTCAAATTTGCATTCCCCCACTTTGTCCAGGAATTCCCTGGCAAGAAATAAGCATAAAACTTGTTCCAAACCAGTGTGCCCCTTTGGAATCTTAGAAGATAAGCAAAGATAAAAACCTCTTTTGAGAATCACTCTGATAACTCAGACCACATGGAAAGTAAACTCCAGGGGCACCCGGATGGCTCAGTTGGTTGAGTGTCCAACTTTGGCTTAAGTCATGATCTCACAGTTCATGAGTTCAAGCTTCACGTCAGGCTCTGTGCTGACAGCTCAGATTCTGTGTCTCCCTCTATCTATGCCCTTCCACTGATCCTGCTCTCTCTCTCTTCCCCTCTCTCTCAAAAATAAATAAACATTTTAAAAGCTTAAAAAAAGAAAAAGCAAATTCCAATGAAGATTATTTCCCATTAAAAAAATTAAAGTATACAAAGACTTAATGCACTCCAATGGGGGTGAGCCGGCACATGAAAATAGAAAATTAGAATTCCATTACCCCAGGGGTGCCTGGGTGGCTCAATCAGTTAAGCGTCTGACTTCAGCTCAGGTCATGATCTTGCGGTTCGTGGGTTCGAGCCCCACGTCGGGCTCTGTGCTGACAGGCAGCTCAGAGCCTGGAGCCTGTTTCGGATTCTGTGTCTCCCTCTCTTTCTGATCCTCCCCTGCTCACACTGTCTCTCTCTCTCTCTCTCTCTCTCTCAGAAATAAAAACAGTAAGAAATTCTTAAAAAAAATTCCATTACCCGGGATATAAGAAAACAATTGAAAGAGAATATAAACTGAGTATGTGTAAAATGATGAAAGATATAGGTTAAAAATGCTAGTAAAAATGAATAAAAAGATTTAATGTTTATTTATTTTTGAGAGGGAGGGAGAGAGAGAGAGAGAGAGAGAGCATGATTACTAGTGAGCACAAGTGCGGGAAGGTCAGAGAGAGAGGGAGACAGAGGATCTGAAGTAGGTTACACACAGTCAGCACAAACCCCCTGTGGGGCTTGAACCCAAGAGCCATGAGATCTTGACCTGAGCCAAAGTCCAACTGAGTCACCCAGGTGACCCAGAAAAAAAACATTTTAAAAAAAAACAAGCTATATCTTTGAGAAATAAAATATAGTTACTGAAATTAAAATCTCAATTGGCAGACAACATAACAGAAGAGATATGGCTGAAGGAAATATTAGTGAACTGGAAGACAGATATGAGAAAATTACTAACAATGCAGCATAGAGACATAAAGAAATGGAAAATATTAGCAGATAAATGACTGTAACACATGTTTTATACATGTTCCAGAAAGAAAATAGAAAAAATAAGGGAGATGCAAAATTCAAGGAAACAATTACTGAGAATTTTCTAAAGCAGACAGAGAAAGAAAAATACCATATGATTTCTCTCATATGTGGAATCCAACCAAACAACCACACAGACACAAACAGAATCAAATACAGAGAACAGACTGGTGGTTGACAAAGGGGAGGTAGGTGGAAGGGTGAAATAGAAAAAGGGGAATAAGAAGTACAAACTTCCAATAATAAAATAGATAAGTCACAGGGATGAAAAGTACAGTGTAGGAAATAAAGTCAATCATATTGTAATAACATATGGTGACAGTTATCATGGTGAGAATTGAGTTAGGTATGGAACTGTCAAATCTATATGTTATACACCTGGAACTAATATAACATTGCATGTCAATTATATCTCAATAATTTAAAAAATCAGGTAAAGTCTTTAAAAAAAGAAAAAAAAAGGGGGGGGGTGTGCCTGAGTGGCTGAGTCAGTTAAGTATCCAACTTCAGCTCAGGTCATGATCGTGCAGCTCCATGAGTTTGAGTCCCACGTCAGGCTCTCTGCTGCCAGTGTGGAGCCTGCTTCAGATCCTGTGTCTCCCTCTCTCTGCCTTTCCCCCACTCAGGTGTGCAATCTCCCTCTCTCTCTCTCTCACTCTCTCTCTCTCTCTCTCTCTCTCTCAAAAATAAATAACCATTAAAAATTTTTAAGAAATAAAAAGAGGACACTCAGACTCAAAGAATATAATGAGTTTCAAGCAGGAAGATATGAATTTAAATCCACACCTGGACATATCATAACAAAGATAAAAAATATTCAAAACTACCAGCCAGAAAAGCAGAACAACTACGAAGGAACGATAGCGTAAAGCAGTTCTCAAAAGCAATAATAGAAATCAGAAGAGAGTGAGGTAATATGGTTAAGGTGCTGAGGGAAAAATATCAGCATAGAATTTTATATACAACTCAAGCTATTATTCAAGAGAAAGGAGGAAATCACATTTTTATTTTTAACTTTTGGTTTTATGGAAATATAAATATATTAAATATATGTCATATGTAAGAACCACAAACTTAAATGAATATGCAAATAACTATAAGTGATTTAGGGTTTGCTGAAAAAATTGCAACTAGATATAAAACGTAAAGGTGAGGCTCAACCAAACCATGACAGAAACACAGCAGAGAGGGCGGGAGGGGGTAAGGCACCTGGGTGGCTCAATTCGTTGAGCGACCAACTTCGGCTCAGGTCATGATCTCAGGGTTCGTGGGTTCGAGCCCCACGTCGGGCTCTGTGCTGACAGCTCAGAGCCTGGAGCCTGCTTCAGATTCTGTGTCTCCCTCCCTCTCTCTGCCCTTCCCCCACCTGTGTTCTCTTTCTATCTCTCAAAAATAAACAAACATTAAAAAAAAATTTTTAAGGGCACCTGGGTGGCTCAGGCAGCTAAGTGTCTGACTTCAGCTTGGGTCATGCTCTCATGGTTCATGAGTTCAAGCCCCACGTGAGGCTCTGTACTGACAGCTCAGAGCCTAGAGCT